ATGCGCTCCAGCACTACCATCCATGTTTACTTCCATAAACACCGATCACAGTCATTATGCAACAAGAAGGAAAACAGTTCAAATGTTTAAACCTCAAGCAGAGTTTAAATAAGCTAAAATGTTTTCAGCTTCAACATGTTTTCATAAAGCTAATTCATCCACTCCATGTAAAGGTCACACAAACAGAACCTCTTGGATTTGACTAGGACCTTCTGGCTGAGAGCAGCAGTACAAAGAACCAGAGCTTCCATGTCAATGTTCAGCTTATTCACTGTGAGAAGAATCAGATGAACAGAAAAGGCTGATCAGGACATCCTGTTCTCCAAAACCAGAGAAATCAGTTTTTTCTGTTTAAAGTTTAGCTTCACAGTTCCTGTTTTAAACCAGATTCACTGTTAGCTTATGTAGCATCAGTCTTTGGTTAAAGATGGAGGCAGAAACCCGTGAAATGTCCCTTCCTGGCATACCGGGTGTAATGGCATGTTATGGCCACTTGGTGGCACTCTGGGTTTGAATGGAAAAATGTAGAAGAACAAGAAAAAGTTAATAAAGTTATCTAGTTACATCCTGATCGTTGTGTCCTTGAATATAGAGAATAGAGGAACAATACATGGTGTCAGAAGATCATAACTCACGACAGAAGGAGTCTAGTGACACAGATAACGTGTCGGAGGAGTTATACGGTGGGAAGAAAGAAACGGATCACCTGCGGTGCAAGGAAAGCAGTGAGTCGGCGAAAGCTAAAAACAAGCTAGCGACTAGCTAAAAGCACGAAGCATGGACAACGTATTTACCATTACCCCACCGGGACCGTTCGATTTCGAGCCAAGCTCGTGGCCAGCATGGATAAAAAGATTCGAACGCTTCAGAATGGCGTCTGGATTGATGGAAAAAGACGGCGCATATCAGGTGAATACTCTCATTTACACAATGGGGGACAAGGCTGATGACATCCTAAGTTCATTGCAACTAACAGAAGAAAAACAAAAGGACTATAAGGAGGTAAAAGAGGCTTTTGATGGACATTTTATCGGAGTGCATAATGTTATTTATGAACGAGCCAAGTTTAATAAGAGATGTCAGGAAGTTGGCGAATCTGCAGAGAATTTTATCACCGCTGTGCACAAGCTGGCTGAACACTGCAACTACGGCCTCTTACGCGAGGAGATGATCCGAGATAGGATTGTTGTCGGCATACGTGACGCCAAATTGTCTGAAAGATTGCAACTTAACCCAGCGTTGGATTTACATACGGCCATTGTTCAAGTGAGGCAGCACGAGGTGGTGAAAAAGCAACAAGCTGTCCTGCGGTCAGCTGAGTCACCAGGGCAAATGGATGCAGTTTTTCATAACTATAAGAGACAGGCTCATAAAAATAAATCTTGGCAACGTGCCAACCCTTCTCAGCCTCATGCTACCACGACAACGTCCAAACAATGTGGAAAGTGTGGCAAAACCCCAAAACATTCATGGACTGAGTGCCCAGCTAAAGATGTTGAGTGCAGAAAATGCCATAAAAGGGGACACTTTGCGAAAGTGTGCAGATCGGCTCCAAAGCTGGAATCCATTGAGGAGGACGCAGCTAGGGCTTATCTAGGAACTATTGACCACCCACATTTGTCGACATGGACAGAAATACTTACCATAAACGGCAGCCCGTTGCGTTTTAAGGTGGATACTGGCGCGTCTGTGACTGCTATCCCAGAGACGGAATATGTACGGGATCGATATGGCAAATACACAGCGCCACAAAGACCACTGCTGGGGCCCGCCAATCAACCTCTGGATGTTAAAGGGCAAGTGAAGGCTGTCATTCAGAGAGGCAACAGAAGGATTGAGGAGGAGGTGTTCATTGTGAAGGACCTGAGCACACCCTTACTGGGCCTCCCTGCAATTCGCAGACTGCAGATGATTCCACAGCTTCATAGCATAGACGATGCAGAGGCATACTTCCGCTCAACCTACCCAGATGTCTTCACAGGGCTAGGTAAACTTAAAGGAGAGTACAAAATTAAGCTGAAAGATGATGCAACACCCTATGTTCTCTCTGCTCCGCGTCGTGTAGCCATTCCCCTCCGCAGCAAAATGAAAGAGGAATTGGACCGGATGGAGAAGATGGGGGTCATAGGCCGCGTGGAAGAACCAACTGAATGGTGCGCAGGCATGGTCCCTATTGTGAAAACATCAGGGAAAATACGCATTTGTGTAGATTTAACACATCTGAATGAGAATGTCATCAGGGAGAGGCTCATCTTACCGGCAGTGGATGAGACGCTGGCCAAGCTAGAAGGAGCCAGGATCTTCACAAAGCTCGACGCGACATCAGGCTTCTGGCAGGTACCGCTACATAAAGACTCAATGCTGTTGACCACGTTCATCACACCAGAGGGACGCTATTACTTCAAGAGGCTCCCTTTTGGAATATCTTCGGCTCCAGAACATTTTCAGAAGAGGATTTCTCAGCTGATTGATGGTATTGACGGAGCCCTGTGCCATGCTGATGATGTCCTTGTCTCGGGAAAGGATCGAGCAGAGCATGACGAACGGCTGCACAAAGTGCTACAGAAATTCAGAGAAGCTGGACTTACTCTAAATGAGAAATGCCAGTTTGCTAAGGGTGAAATTCGATTCCTGGGCCATGTCATAAACTCAACAGGCATCAGAGCAGACCCAGATAAAATAAAAGCGATCCTGGATATGCCTGAGCCGAAGGATGTGGGGGACGTTCGCCGTTTCATGGGCATGGTGAATTATGTGGGCAAATTCTCACCACGTCTGCCTGACCTGACAAAGCCCATCCGTGACCTGTTAAAGTCAGAGAACAGCTGGATATGGCAGGCACCCCAACAGAGAGCGTTCCAGGAGACGAAAAAGGAACTAGGGTCAGAGACTGTGTTAGCCCAATACAGCCCGAGTCACGAAACCATGGTATCAGCTGATGCTTCTTCCTATGGACTGGGAGGGGTGTTGACACAAAAACAGCCTGACGGTGAATGGAGACCTGTAGTTTTCATTTCTAGAAGTCTGACCAAGGCCGAATCGCGGTACGCCCAAATAGAAAAAGAGGCTCTAGCTGTGACCTGGGCGTGTGAGCGCCTGCGAGGATACCTGAGTGGGCAGGATTTTACTATAAGGACTGATCACAAGCCACTTATAACCCTCCTGAAGTCCAGAGCACTGGACGACCTCCCTCCAAGGATTATCAGATTCAGGCTTAGATTGCTAAGATTTAATTTCAACATAATCCATGTCCCAGGCAAAAACTTGATAACCGCTGATGCCCTGTCGAGAGCGCCTCTTCCAACCACGGCTACGGAGGCAGAGCAAGACCTGGAAAAAGAATGTAAAGCGTACCTGGACAGTGTAGTAGAAAACCTCCCAGCCACACCGACAAAGCTGGAACAGATTAAGAGGGCGCAAACCTCAGACAACACATGCAAACGTCTCAGTCACTACATTGCAAATGGCTGGCCCGAACACAGACGAGATGTACACGAGCTGCTGCTGCCCTACTGGCAGGACAGGTCAGTTCTGCACGATGGAGGATTACTCATGAAAGGTGAGAGACTCATAATACCTGAAAGCATGAGACCTGATATCCTGCAGAGACTTCACCAGGGACACCAAGGCATCAACAAATGCCTAGCTAGAGCTAGAGAATCAGTCTGGTGGCCAGGCATCACGTCTGCTGTGAAACAGATGGTGGAGAGATGTGAGATTTGCGCACGGGAAGCTCACACAGCAGTCGAGCCCCTGCTCACTACCGACCTCCCAAACAGACCATGGCAGAGAGTCGCGGCAGATCTTTTCCAATGGCAGAATGGGAATTACTTAGTCATGATAGACTACTTTTCTCGTTTTATTGAAGTTTGCAACCTACCTAACAGCACATCTGCAAAACAGACTATTGCAAGAATTAAAGCTGTGTTTGCTAGACATGGATGCCCAGAAGTGCTTGTCACGGACAATGGCCCACAATTTTCCTGTCACGAATTCGCTCTGTTTGCACAAGAGTATGACTTCAGGCACGTGACAAGCAGCCCCCGTTATCCGCAGAGCAATGGGGAGGCTGAACGGGCCGTCAGAACAGTGAAGTCCCTTTTGGAGAAAGAGGGAGATTTCCATAAGGCTCTGTTGGCCTACAGGGCCACCCCATTGGCACATGGGAGCTCCCCAGCACAACTACTGATGGGGAGGAGAATCAGAACACCAGTCCCTGTGTCACCGGAGCAGTTACAACCAAAGTGGCCGGATCTCAAGACATTCAGAGAAAAGGACACTGCCTTGAAACTGAAACAACAACAAACGTTTAACCGGAGACACCGTACTCAAACTCTGCCACCTCTTCAGCCCGGACAGCAGGTGTGGATCAGACCCACACGCACCAGAGGGACAGTTGTGGGACCTGCACCTACACCGCGCTCATATGAGGTGGAAACCCCGGAAGGAGGACGGATGCGGCGCAACCGTTCACAACTCAGAGAGGTACCAGTACCTCCAACATCAGGTGAGGTGACGACGACTAGGTCAGGGAGACTGTCCAGGGCTCCTGAAAGACTGGACCTTTGAACAGTATACACACATGCACATCACGGTGGACAAGGAAGAAAATAAGACATGTTAAAAAGAAAAAAAATAGTCACAATTTTCCTGTTTGAAAGTTGAAATGTTATTAGGAAAGGCAGGTTCTGGTTGTTGAAAACTAAAGGTTTAAGTAATAGCCACAGTGAAATGGAATGTCTTCGGTTAGCCGCTCAGGTTACGTCCATTGATGAATATATTACAATGATTTGAAGTTCTGCCAAATCGGTTAAACGTTTATCTAAAAGGGGGAGATGTAATAGCATGTTATGGCCACTTGGTGGCACTCTGGGTTTGAATGGAAAAATGTAGAAGAACAAGAAAAAGTTAATAAAGTTATCTAGTTACATCCTGATCGTTGTGTCCTTGAATATAGAGAATAGAAGAACAATACACCGGGGGGGGGGACCATTGTTTACCTTGGAGGAGCCCAGTCGTGTTTGGTGCAGTCCAGCAGAGTTCCCACATAGGTTCTCTTTCTCCAGGTCACGTTCACCACCAGCACACCTGTCAGTAAAACAGGACAGCAGTTATTCCAGGATTAAATAGAACCACACTGATATTCTGCAATAGAAAAACCAAAGACAGTTGGATAGTTTGACGTCTGATGACCGAGGAAGTTTTAACTGATCGATAAAAAAACTGAAAAAAAATCAGTTTCTGGCGAACAAAGTAACTGTTAGACCCTGATATAAAGAGCTGGTTAGCGCTGTGACTAGCTGTGCTTAGTAGCTAACAGGTTAGCCTCTTTTAGCTCGTGCTTAACTTTACCGTTTGTAAAGTTAAGCAGTCAAACATTAAGAAAAATATTTATGGTTATTTTGGCGTATTTCAAGAGAAAAATAAGGGGTTTATTTTTTTTCAAGTCATTTTTTCACAACGTCATTCATTTATTTATAAAAATCCTAAATGTTGAATAAATATTAAGTTTGCAAATTAAATATTTAGTTTTTTAAATAAATATTTAGCTCCAAACTAAATATTTAGTTTGGAAATTAAACATTTAGTTTGGTAAATATTTGGTTTGGAGCAAAATATTTATTTAACAAACTAAATATTTAATTTGCAAACTTAATATTTAGTTTTTTTAAATAAATATTTAGCTTCAAACTAAATATTTATGTAACAAACAAATATTTAGCTCCAAACCAAATATTTACCAAACTAAATAATTAATTTCCAAACTAAATATTTAGTTTGGAGCAAAATATTTATTTAACAAACTAAATATTTAATTTACAAACTTAATATTTAGGTTTTTAAATAAATATTTAGCTTCAAACTAAATATTTATTTAACAAAGTAAGATTTCTATAAATGACTGAATGAATAAGTGAAAAAATGACTTGGAGAAAAAAAATAAACCCCTTATTTTGTCTTAAAATAAGCTAAATAACCATAAATATTGCTCCTAATGTTTTACTGCGCCCCTTAAACAACAACTGTTCGTTTTCTACAAGTAGAATAACTGTTTTATTCGTCTAAAATCTCTACGAAAGTCATTTTTTAAGATGTTCCATTTGTCCTCTGCCTTTAGATTTTAATAAAAAGAATAAAAATAAGCTGAGATCTGTTTTATCACCTTGTTAAATAGCAGAGCTCCGTCTGTCTGAGAACGCAGTACTTCCTTCCAGACTATAAATGATTGTTTTCTACTTTTAGCTACTTTAGATCACCAATGAAAAGTAAAATAATAGCAAATATAGGTAATAATATGTTGAAAATGCAAAAGAGATTTGATCGTTAAGAAACGGGTGCAATACAGTTTTTCCAAGTGGTGTTGCCATATGTTGACATCATTAGAAGGGGCGGGGCCTCTGTTCTAACAGACCATTCCTCATCCTGCTGCTCCTTTTGAATTCCTGTCCAGTGCTAAAGGTGGGAGAGAGAAACCAGGGAGGAATGGAAAAACCTGTGAAATCAAAGGTAATAAATGGTTTTAATGGTTCGGCTGTGGCTCCTTAAACCACATCAGAATAAATCTCTGAATTTAAAACAGTTCAAACATGAAGCAATAAAAGCCAAACAGAGAAGTAGATTGGAATGACTCCCTCAGGTGGATTTTAGCGTTCTGCAGCGAGGCAGGTGTTTGCACAGATTATTCTACAGGATATCAGCAGTCTGATTGTCTGAGAAGAGATTTAACCTTTTCCCCCGGCCCCTAACGGCCCCACACGGCCCCGCACAGTTTCTCATTTCTCTGATCTCGCCTGTTTCTGATGAAGAATGACACGCTGATGGAAGGAGAACGCGGCGGGAGCATGAAACAATAAAAGGTAAGAGTCCCTTCTGATGCGTTTGGTGCAGGAAGCAGGATTCACGTCTCTAAATGGTTTCCAAACTCATCCAGAACTCCTGGAAACGGGAACCGGTTCCGTTATCGACGTTCCTCCTCAGCAGTCAGGCCTGCAGGTGGAACCGTTTTTACAAAGACAGAAATGTGTTTATCTTCAGCTTTATGACGCAGCAGGTTCCGCTCCATAAATCAGTGGATTCCTGCAGGCGAGCCTCATTTCCTCCTACAGCCACCGACACCAAAGAAAGGCCCTAAAGATCCGTTTTAGTGCTCATTAGTTGTGTCAGAGAGCGGCGCGGCGGCGAGGAACCATCTTAACCGTCTCTGTCACCCTGAAGACTCTTCCTCAGTAGATACTGTTTCCCCGGCAGCAACACACCTGAGAAGGAATAAACTTTATCGCTCATAAAGAGGCTTGTAAAGCTTAAAATTTTAATGCAGCTCAATTTATTAAACGTTCATACTTCTCTACGATCGTAATTTTTTCACAACGCCATTCCTTCATTTATAAAAAAGTTCTAAATGACTAAATATTGCAAAGACGATCTATCGATTGAGTTGACAGAGGAAGATTGGCAGACAGCATGTTAATTAGCCCACACCAGCTCTATTAACACATCTCTAAAAATGATTCAATATAATTCAATTCTATTCAGTCTATTTCTATAGCTCCAATTCACATCATGTCATCTCAGGTCACTTTCCAGTTCAACCAGATCATCCAGTCAGATTGATTCAAAGTTTTCTATCTAAGGAAAACCAGCTGATTGCATCGACTCATTGACTCTTCAGCAATCCCTCACACTAAGCATGCTTGTAGCGACGGTGGAGAGGAAAAACTCCCTTTGAACAGGAAGAAACCTCCAGCAGAGCGGCCATCTGCTGAGGCCCACTGGGGTTCAAGGAGACAGAAGCAGACATAGAAAAAGAAGCATAGATACAAAAGGCAACTGTCAACCAGCTCCACAGGCGGCCCCGTCCAGGAAACACACAGCCAGGCAGACGAGCTCCGAGCCAGCTCCCATGTCAGAGGATGAAGAGAGCACATCCAGTTAGTCACAGTCAGAGAAACAGGACTACACTGGAAAACAGGCCAAGCTCCAACATCTAGAAACAAAGGTGTTGATGGAAGCAAATGGCTAATGCGGATTTATATAACACCAGTAGACCTCAATAGGTATAACCTGATGTATGTCCAAAATGCACAGGGGTTAGAGGGACTCTGGTTCACTATATGTGGTATTGCAGAGAAATTATACAGTTTTGGAAAGAAGTACAAGGTGCTATAGAAAACATAGTTTCTAAACAGATCATTTTGGAGCCAAGGTTGTTTGTGTTTGGTTTATTCCCTGAAAAACATATTTACACAAAAAATGAACAAGTATTTATAAACTTAAGTTTGCTTATTGCGAAGAAATGTATATCTAGGGATGCACAATATAATCGGCCCCCTATCGGTATCGGCTTTAAAACTGAATATCGGACATCGGCCCCCCCACCGATATTTAACCCGATATTGGATCAGCTTCTGAGTTTCTAAAGTCTAAAAAAAAAAAAAAAATACTACTTCTTCTTCTTCCTCAAAAACTTCTTTTTTACAGACTTAAAAACTTCTAAAGACGAGGGAAAAAATATTGATACATTAAAATATCCCAATATCTTCCTATGCTGATATATTGCCATTTAAAAACACCATATCAATCTCTTTTACTAATGAAATATTGCTATATGTCATCGTTATGCTACGAAATCCCCCGAAAATTCACCAAATGTTGCCATATTTTTATATGTTGATATATTGACGCGGTATCGATCTATTTTACTAACAAAATCTCACAAGAATTTGCAAAATATCACGAGAGTTTGTAACAGAACAATAAATTTCACCAGATTTTGAAAGTAAAATAGATTGATACCGCGTTTTTAAAAATCTATTTGATATCAGCATATGAAAATATATTTGAGTATATTATTTTTCAAAGTGTCAGAAATGGATAACAAAACTGCTATTTTCAATGGGCCGGATCTATCAAAGGTTTGCGTGTATTAAAACGTGAGCTATTTCACTGCGCACGCTAAAAAATGTACAAACTGATCTATCAACAGCGTGCTAAAAGGATTTGGTCTTTAAAACGTGCTAAATAGCGCCTCTTATCCATTTAGTACTTTTTTTGCTATGAATATGCAATATGGGGCGTTTACACGCTAAAGTGCGTCTTGTGGGAGGAGAACATATAAATATATTAATTTAGCACTCGCAAAGTGATTTATCAAACCTGAAAGCAATTTTGCTAACGGTATCTGACTCTATATTTAACACGTTTCAAAAGAAGGTGCAAATAGTCTGTATGCGTAATTTCGCACACATGGCAGCGGTTATTGTCGCAAGAAGGAGACATGGAAATGAAGCAAGGAGACGCAGAGAACGCATTTTTTCACTCCGTGTGAATATTTTTGGAATGAAGGAGGAAACGATCATCAAAACATTTCGTTTATCCAGCATTGCCATTTTGAAGCTGCAATTCCAGTGATTTGCTCCTCACAGAGCGTCAGCTGTTGTTCCTCAATGCTGGTCAGAGGCATCTCATCTACTGTGCCCCCTCCTGTTTTGTTCGCAGATGTTTTGTTATATGCCAGTTTTTCTTTGGTTCGCCTTCTAATATCCTGGTATCTTCTTTTTACTTCATCCACTGTTCGCAAGGTTTCACCAACAGCGTTTACTTTATTACAGATTTGTTCACATATAGCGTTCCTCTGTGTGACAGGCACACTTCTTTGCTGTAGCTCACTTAAATGTTTGTTGGCTTCACCCACCAATACCTCCATTTCCATGGGGTCGAATTTCCTTTTGCGCTTTCTGCTGTCCAAACTCGCCATGCGGCAAACCACAAAACGCGCAAAACCATCATTTAAATAGGGCGTCTCCAACAGTTTTGCACCTTCCACCAGTTACGCAATCGCTCTTGTTAAATCACCCGCAAACCATGGTTTAGCCCCTCGCGCTAAATTCCAGTTTGCGAGCGCAAATTACTGCACGCAAAATTGGATCTTGATAAATCCGGCCCAATGACTACTTATTTTTGTCCAGCTTTAACATCGGTATCGATATCGGTTATCGGCTACATGAGTTTTAAAATATCGGCATATCGGATATCGGCCAAAATCCCAATATCGTGCATCCCTAAGTATATCTATATTTTGGAAAAAGACT